GCAGGTGTATTACTAGGTTGTATCTAGTCAGCTGCAAGTGTATTACTAGGTTGTATCTAGTCAGCTGCAGGTGTAATAGTAGGTTATATCTAATCAGCTGCAGCTGTACTACTAGGTTATATCTACCCAGCGGCAGGTGTATTATTAGGTTATATCTAGTCAGCTGCAGGTGTATAACTAGGTTACATCTACCCAGCTGCGGGTGTGTTACTAGGTTGTATCTAGTCAGCTGCGGGTGTATTACTAGGTTGTATCTACCCAGCGGCAAGTGTACAAGTAGATTATATCTAGTCAGCTGCAGGTGTGTTACTAGGTCGTATTTAGTCAGCTGCAAGTGTATTACTAGGCTGTATCTAGTCAGCTGCAAGTGTATTACTAGGTTGTATCTACCCAGCGGCAAGTGTACAAGTAGATTATATCTAGTCAGCTGCAGGTGTGTTACTAGGTCGTATTTAGTCAGCTGCAAGTGTATTACCAGGTTGTATCTAGTCAGCTGCAGGGGTATTACTAGGTCGTGTGTATAATGTAAACTATAAGTTAGTATTTACATCAAAAAATCTTGATCATATCCATTCGTCTATAGATGTCTCTCTTTATCATATCCACTCGTCTATAGATGTCTCTCTTGGTCATATCCATTCGTCTATAGATGTCTCTCTCTTCATCATATCCATTCGTCTATAGATGTCTTTCTTTATCATATCCATTCGTCTATAGATGTCTTTCTTGATCATATCCATTCGTCTATAGATGTCTTTCTTGATCATATCCATTCGTCTATAGATGTCTGTCTTTATCATATCCATTCGTCTATAGGTGTCTTTCTTCATCATATCCATTCGTCTATAGGTGTCTCTCTTGATCATATCCATTCGTCTATAGATGTCTTTCTTGAGACATCTATAGACGAGTGGATATGATCAAGAAAGACATCTATAGACGAGTGGATATGATCAAGAAAGACATCTATAGACGAATGGATATGATCAAGAAAGACATCTATAGACGAATGGATATGATAAAGAAAGACATCTATAGACGAATGGATATGATGAAGAGAGAGACATCTATAGACGAATGGATATGATCAAGAGTCTTGATCATATCCACTCGTCTATAGATGTCTTTCTTTATCATATCCATTCGTCTATAGATGTCTCTCTTGATCATATCCACTCGTCTATAGATGTCTTTCTTTATCATATCCATTCGTCTATAGATGTCTCTCTTGATCATATCCACTCGTCTATAGATGTCTCTCTTCATCATATCCATTCGTCTATAGATGTCTCTCTTTATCATATCCATTCGTCTATAGATGTCTCTCTTGATCATATCCATTCGTCTATAGATGTCTTTCTTGATCATATCCGCTCGTCTATAGATGTCTTCTTGATCATATCCATTCGTCTATAGATGTCTTTCTTCATCATATCCATTCGTCTATAGATGTCTTTCTTCATCATATCCATTCGTCTATAGATGTCTTTCTTGATCATATCCATTCGTCTATAGATGTCTTTCTTCATCATATCCATTCGTCTATAGGTGTCTTTCTTCATCATATCCATTCGTCTATAGGTGTCTCTCTTGATCATATCCATTCGTCTATAGATGTCTTTCTTTATCATATCCACTCGTCTATAGATGTCTTTCTTCATCATATCCATTCGTCTATAGATGTCTTTCTTTATCATATCCATTCGTCTATAGATGTCTCTCTTGATCATATCCACTCGTCTATAGATGTCTTTCTTGATCATATCCACTCGTCTATAGATGTCTTTCTTTATCATATCCATTCGTCTATAGGTGTCTCTCTTGATTATATCCATTAGTCTATAGATGTCTCTCTTGATCATATCCATTCGTCTATAGATGTCTTTCTTGATCATATCCACTCGTCTATAGATGTCTTTCTTTATCATATCCATTCGTCTATAGATGTCTTTCTTTATCATATCCACTCGTCTATAGATGTCTTTCTTTATCATATCCATTCGTCTATAGATGTCTTTCTTTATCATATCCATTCGTCTATAGGTGTCTCTCATCTATAGACGAGTGGATATGATCAAGAGAGACATCTATAGACTAATGGATATGATCAAGTCTCTCTTGGTCATATCCATTCGACTGTTGATTATCACTTGATAATATCCATTCGTCTATAGATGTCTGTCTTTGTCGTATCCATTCGTCTATAAGTGTCTCTCTTGATCATATCCATTGGTCTGTAGATGTTTCCCGTATGACATTCATTATTCTGTAGATGTATCCATTCGTCTGTAAATGTCTCTCTGGATCATATTAATTTAGCTGTAGTTCTATGTTTTCATATTTCACGTAACTTACAAGCAGATCTGAGAAGTTATTCTGATGTTTACAACCGTTATAAACAACAAAAATGTCAGATCATCTGATAATCTCTGGTAATTACAGATTGTAAAAACTAAAGTCCTCAAGAAGAAAGACAATCATCCAGCAGATTTCATAATGTAATACGCCTACCTAACACACTCAAACGAGAAAACTATACTGTTAACACACTCTGGTGATTATATTAGGTATTAAGTTCAACTCAACGTTCTGAAATGCGAAAGAAGTGTATTGAAAACCCTGTTACTATGTGTAATGCAACTCCTTAAGTAAATTGTGTAAGAGTAAAAACCCTCGTGAGATCAGTATACGTAATTTAAAATACCTGTAAACTTACAGGCTAACGTTAAGTTTATGGATTTACAACATTAAAATCCGGGTTTCGATTTCCCGCGGTGGAGACAGCAGATAGCCCAATGTTACTTTACTCTGAAACAAACAAGTAAACTATTAGCATTATTTTTCTAATCCAGTTGACGAGAGTATTCTCATGAAGTTGATCGTCACAACATATAACACGAACAGTTTTAGTTGACACTGTGCTTGTGTTTAAAGTTTACTTCCATAAGAAAACATTTCAATTAAACATCCCCACTAATCTTATTCCGCTTATGCTTTAATATTTAGATTCTTGTCGTTCGACTGTTTAGACTGTTTTAGTGAGATTATCTTAAGCCTAAAAACATTGTATTTCTTTAACGTTATTGGTTAACATAGTGTGATGATGACACAAGCTGGTATAAACGTCGAACCTTTGCTGATAAGTTTTCTTTCTTTGCCCATTCAAACCATCTCCAAATTTTACTTTCTAATAGTGGGTTCTTCGTCATCGAGCTGCCATATTTTATTTGGAAGATTACATTGCATGGTTAGCTTAGTACACAGAATTACGACTAACCTACATGTGCCGGTCCTCGTGGGATACTATTGGGATTAAGTATTTCGCTAACATTAAGTGTACCCAACTTATCAATTAGTACATTATAATCATTACGAGGTTTTGTTTTGTAACATTCTTCTCAGATAGGCCGGTATATTAAATAGCTGTATTATTTACTGTTTTTTCTTTGTTTTTCACTTTTCGTCTATGTGTTTACTTACTTAGATGGTCGATCACAAGCTAATAATGAATACTAAAAATACTCTTGTAACCTTGCTGTACAAGTATGTTAACTGAATAAAACTGGGGTTAATCTGTGAAATAAATCTCTTAGAAAAAGGACCGCTACATAATAACATTTACTAACTTTCAGCTAACCACAACCGCGCCTTTAAAGTCAGACCGACGCACACATCCACACACTGTTGGAAACACACTTTGATCATCACATAGCCTGTGAGAGATTTCTAATCCGTTATACTGTTGTAACGCTTTTTGTTCTTTGGCGAGTTCTTTTAAATTATATGGTGAAAATTATTCGATGTGCAGTCCACGTGACGAGAACAAATTACTTTATTTCCTCCTTAACGTTAGCACATGCTTGAACACTTGTACATGGTCGTAATATGTTGCAGGCCTACGTTACAAATGATGTTCACTTTACTATATTACATAAAAATGTTCAACTTGCTTGTACAACGTAACGCAATACACGCGAAAGACTCACTGTTATTATGATGTATCTGTTGAAAGTTTAGAATAGATTATATTTTTAAACCTCTTCTTTATTTATTTGTTTTGTAGTTTAAAATAAAACGTGGAAGTTTACACTGAAAGTATCCAGTTAAATTAAATATGGGCAGAGTTCAAACTTTTTAACATCTCATTTAGACACTTTCAGTTTCAGGGATTTGTTTTTTCATTCGGTAAACCTTTTGTCTGTTTCTATTCTTCACAAATGGAAGTTTAGATTTTTAAATATAGAGATGCTATTCTTTTTAAACAGACTTAATAGTTTCATTGCAAGACCCAAAGAAACTTTTGAATTAAAAACAGAACCCGGGATCTAAATAAATTTAAAAACAAATTCGACAAAAAATTGATCTAATCAGAAAACGTTGTCTCCTTCACTGATGGATGTACTCGACATAAATAGGTATTTATTAACGGATGTAGGGATGAGAAAGTTAGAGAACACATGACAAAGTCTGTTACTCTAATCACCTTAAGAGATTTATGAGGCATTTAAATATTCTTTTAGCCTGTTGTATTGTATGCTTACAGTATTAAAACACACTAAAAACACCTGTTTTAAAAGATACAGGTCATTCTAAAAAATACCTGTTTTAAAAGATACTGGTTGCTCTAAGAACATCGGTTTTAAAACATACAGGTAGCTCTAAGAACATCGGTTTTGAAATATACAGGTCATTCTAAAAACATTGGTTTTAAAATATACAGGTCATTCTAAAAAACATTGGTTTAAAAATATACAGGTCATTCTAAAAACATTGGTTTTAAAATATACAGGTCATTCTAAGAACATAGGTTTTAATATACAGGTCATTCTAAAAACATTGGTTTTAAAAGATACAGGTCATTATAAAAAATACCTGTTTTAAAACATACAGATTGCTCTAAGAACATCGGTTTTTAAATATACAGGTCATTCTAAAAACATTGGTTTTAAAATATACAGGTCATTCTAAGAACACCAGTTTTCAAACATAAAGGTTATTTTAAAAACATCGGTTTTCAAACATACAGGATGTTCTAAACCATGCTGTTGTTATTTTCTAACTCTTTATTAACTATTCTAAGTCTGGAGGAACTTTATAAAGTTAATATTCTTCCTTTATATTCTGGTTTGATTTTTTTAGATAAATAAATTAAAGAATCTTGAGAAAGTTATTTGGTATCTATATAAATCCGTATTATATTCTTCAGACTTTGGAAACAGAGGGTTAATTGTATTGTATATGAACAATTTGTATGAAGCTGTAGCGCCATGGGCGACATTTTTAACATGTAAAGAACTGGAGTACATTATACGAAAACGAACTTGTAGCTTCACCACGTCGTTACATTCTATGTCGCCACGTCCAGCCCTGCTCTGTCTGATGACCGTCTATCTATAAAATAACCCCGCATCGCAGTTTCCAAAAAAAGGTCCCATCGTCAGGATGTATTGTTCAAAGCAAGCCAATCATCCATCCTTGCGATCTTTCCATAATTGATGTAGTTTACAAGGAACATCGTTTTCTAGTTTCTACAGTCCGAATATCATGAATACCTTTTTCACTTTCCAGTTTGAATAGAAGGTATGACTGGAAGCCTTAGCTTGGTGAACCCATACTGAGTTGTCCTTATTCGCAAGTTGCATCTTATGGATAAGAAAGAGAACCTTCTGGCCGAAAAAAAATATTTGTTTTTGTTTGATCTCAAGCCCGAAGGTAAACAATGGGCTATTTAAGCTGTAGCCACTGCGAGTATCTAAACCTGATTTTTAACGTTATAATCTTTTACAATTATTGCTGAGCTACCGTGGGGCCCGTAAAAAAGTCATTTCGATGTAGCTGTACATATCTCCAGCTCTGGTTAAATGATTTGATAAATTAACGAAGGTTTTCGAGCAACAATATCACAACCCGCCAGTTTCATATTGAATTTAACGTCTGTGTTCCAGAGAAATAATCTGCAAAGAAACTGGAACGGAGGAATCCTATTCAACCATATACCTGTCTAGATCATGATGTAGCATCAACGGCCTACCAATCACATTCAACCATATACCTGTCTAGATCCTGATGTAGCATCAACGGCCTACCATCTAGACAGGTATATGGTTGAATGGAATTGGTTGTCCGTTGATGCTACATCAGGGTGTAAACACGTATATGGTTGAATAGGATTACATGATGTAGCGTCAACTGACAACCAATCCCATTCAACCATATACCTGTCTAGATCATGATATAGCATCAACGGACAACCAATTCCATTCAACCATATACCTGTCTAGATCATGATGTAGGGTCAATGGACCATCAATTCCATTCAACCATATACCTGTCTAGATCATGATGTAGCGTCAACGGACAACCAATTCCATTCAACCATATACTTGTCTAGATCACGATGTAGCGTCAACGGACAACCAATTCCATTCAACCATATACCTGTCTAGATCATGATATAGCATCAACGGACAAACAATTCCATTCAACCATATACCTACATGTCTAGATCATGATG